ATATATATATATTATTATATATATATATATATATATATATATATATATATATATATATACACACATAATTATAAGATATTATAATTATAAAATAATGTAATATTTAGTTAATATAATGTAATTATATATTATTTTTAATTACATAATTTTTTTTAATTATATCTAATATATTCAAAAATAATATGTCATTATTTGTACAGATTTATTTATATAATATGTATATATATTATGTTTTAACTTAATATAATATACTGCTCTACATTATAGATTTTCAATCAATGTGCCGTAAAATATTTATAAAAAAAAAATATTAATCTTTTCTTATAAAATCAGAAATATAATTTTTTTATTAAATGAGTTTATACTTTTTTTTCATTGTTTAAGTTTTTAAATTCAATTATTTCTATCAAAAAATTATTATGTATTTAATTTTATTTCATTATTTTTGCTTATACTATATTTTATTCTAAATGTACATATATCAAAAATAACCACGTGTTCTATAACCTCTTGAATAGTTTATGCCGTGAGATTAAAAAAAGATTGAAAATCATTGTAGATGGTAAGCAAAAAGAATATATAAAAAGAATTGATGAATATACATGAAAAAAGATTCATCCAATATAATATATATTCTGAAATTTATATTTATAATTCAAAATTTTTTAATATTTTTTTAAATTTATAAATGATGTAATTGTGTATAATTTAAGCTAAAAAAATATAAAAAAAAATTACTGGAAGTTATTGAATTTTGCATATTAATTAATCATATCTCTAATTGTATACAATTTTAAAATTTATTTTTTATGTTTTAATATTTTTATTACAGAATTGGAAAAACCCCATGTATCTGAGAAAAAGGTGAGTATTTCATTTAAAGTTATTTATATATATAATAAAAAAAAAAAAAAAAAAAAATGATATTTTATAAGAAAAAATATATTATTTGTGCAGGCTATGTTTTCATTAGGTATGATAATATTCAAAGCACTTGATTTCGGCCTAGATGAACAAGAAGAAAGGCCTTTATCACCGGATTTAGAAGCTCTTATAACATTAATGACAAGTGCAGATCAAGGTAAAATTATTTTCTAAAAAATATGATTAATAAAAATTAAAGTCATATAAAGATTAATTTTTTCTGCTACATAGAAATTGAAGAAGAAATGGAAGAACGTCCACAGGAAACAGATGATGAAGGCATAGAGAGAGATTCAAGTATTGCTGACATAGATGAATTTTTATCACAAAAAACTAATGATGTTTATAAAGAAAGATCATCAATATATTCCTTGAAAAATGTAATGCAAGTAAGTGCAATAAGCAAATCTTTATTTTTTATTATATATAAAAATAATAAAAAGAAAAATTTGAAAAATAATATATAAAAAATTTTATATAACAATTTTAAATTTAAAAAGTGTGATATATTATTAAATAATAATATAATTGCTTAATACATATGCAAATTTTTTTATAATTCATTTGCAAAGAATATGTCTTACTCTTTGTTGAATGCATTCTTTATATTACTTATCTTTTTCCTTTAGTGTTTATTTTAATTTAGAAGAAAAATAATTTGAACATAAATTACACATTTATAAGAATTTTTATATTATTCTATATATGTATATATATATATGTTATTTCTAATAATTTTTTTTTATATTGATATTTTTTTATTATTTTTATTTATAATATATATTAATTTTTATATGTAGTTATGTACCAGACACATGCAAACTTCTCTTGAATCTGCTGAAGTTCACTATAAAGCTGTAATACGAGCATTTGTAACAGAAGCTCTGGAATTGTCACAATTTTTGGACACAATAGAAGCTGATAAACTACAAGCTAGTCAGAAGGAAGTTGTCAACAGTGATAGTAATAAGCAAATCTCGATGTCTGTTCAGAATCTTGATACATTAGATTTTATTGATTGGGTAAGATTTTCAGCTAAAAAATATACCATATGATTTAAATTATGGATATACAAATAATGGATTATCAATATCCAAATAAGATGACACTATTTTTCGATATGGATTTCATTTATTAAATACTTTTTTTTATTGTAATTCAAAAGTAATTTTCATTAATAATCATCAATCGCATAGGAATAAGTAAATTTAAAGCAAAAATAATAAAATTCAACTAAATGCATTCAAATTATTTCGAAAAATTGTGAACGAGTATATATTACAATTTATGTAAAATGAAACAACTGATATTATCTATTATATTATCACTAAATCGTGTAAAGTCATTTATCATTTTGCAGAGATAAGATATTTGAGATTTATTGACTTGACTCTCTACCATTATAGACTGACATTAGGATTTGGAGGGCTATACAAGTATGTCATTACTAATAATGTTTGCGCATGTGTTAGAATGATGTGTATAGAATAGAATTTAGAACATAATTATAATTATGTATATAGTATATATTAGTCTCAATATATAATTATTATTATTATCAATTATTAGCTACTTTAAAACATTGATTATCATAAAATTATAAATGCATGATTTTACTTTAAATTTATATAAAATATTTCAAAAATTTAGATTTTAATCTTTATAATTTATTTTATAAAAATGTTAGGTTTTTTTTTTAGAAATTTATTTCTTTCAATCTTCTATATTATATAAATATTTTTTTTTGATAGCATTTAATATATTTAAATATAAAAATAAAAATTGTAAAATTTATAAAAATCATTTCTTTAATATGTTTTTTTTAATTTTAATTGTATTTAATAAGAATCAATTAAAATAATTATTTTAATAGGCAAGATTTTGGGTACAAGTTATACAAGAATTAAGAAAAGGTGTGAAGCTAAAAAAGGTAGAAGCCAATTTGGGTTCAAAAAACCACAACTCGTGGACGTGGAAAGGGAGCAGAATTTGAATTAACACCTTATGAAATTTTGATGGATGATATTCGAAAAAGAAGATATCATCTGAGGAAGACACCATCACCAACTCCAAATTTGAAGAAAGATGCCCATGCTGTTATTCTGGAATTCATTCGAAGTAGACCACCTCTAAAGAAGGTAATGTTCTATTAAAAGTAATATTTTATTTAGATTCAATTAATGGAACTTTAATTAAAGGATTGTAAAAATTATAGTTTTTACAAATTTCAGTACATTTTAGAGATATAATTTTATACAGGCATCAGAAAGACAGCTTCCACCTCTTCAAAAGGAGTGGACTCTTCGAGAATTACTTATGGAAAGTATAAAGAAACCACCAAATTTGAGATCTTCACGCAATAGATACATTCCTAAGGTTGAAAAAACATCTCCTCAAAATGGTAAGTTGCATTTTATATTTATATGCATAGCAATAATTTTTTTTGCATGTTATAATGCTTTATGAAATATATCTTTGTTTGAATTCAACTATTTAATAAATTCATGAAAACTAATGCATTTAATTCATATTTTATATATTAATAATCGCGACATTCCATACGCATCAATTTTACTAATTGATTTATGTGGTACCTCAATAAATCTTTCTTTGCAAAATGTACAAAATAAATCAACTAAAATTTCAAAGTAAAACTTTTAATATTATATTAACTACCTATTTATTTTATTCTCTGAACTTTTTCAAAATAACTCTCTGAACTTTTTTCTAAATAAAATTTTTTAATTCTTATATCAAGAATAGATTTTAGACTTAGAAGTAGTTTTCAAAATAAGTGGAAAGAGAATTAAACTGCAAAAAGACAACTATGTTTTCATATTAATTATAATAATAACATTTTAACTGAATTACATCAATATGGTTGCATTAAAAACCAACAATATGCATAATATAGAATTACGCGACAGATGTGCAATTGACTCTTATAACAATATATCTAAGAGTACACATGCGCAATGAGTGCGCGCGAGCGCAATATCTTTCACTCTTGATGTACTCTTGAGAGCAGTACAACTTGACAATTGCAACGCAGTGCAGCCAGAATAGTGGTATTTGTGTCTTAATTTTTTTCAATAATAATACTAACTATAATAACAATAATAATCAAAATAATTATATTAATAACAATAATGATAACCATTTGATGCTCATATCTCAACCTTTCTGTTATAAAATATTATAAAAATTAGTCATTAGCTATTCTATAATCGTATAACGTATAAACGTATAATCTATAATATTTTACGATTCCTCTTTCCAGTGCATTGCTCATATTAAGAAATTATTAGAAAAAAATTATTTTCTTATTACATCATCATATGTCAATGTACGTATCATGACTAATTTTTTCATCGCGATAAAAGAGGGTCGATCCATATGAATCATGATTTGCGATGGTAGGCCGGCTTAAACCATTGTAAGCCCCCAGACGGTTCGCGATCAATAACCGAAAGCGCGCAAAGGGCGAGAGTTGACGTCGCCCGAAACGTCATTGTGTCTATCTAGATTTTTACTTTCTCGCGTGTCTCTTTTTTTTCATTAGACACGTTCTCGTCGGTTTCTCGTTTATCCATATTTCTTTATTTTCTTTTCTCTCTCGCGTGCATCCCGGGGGGAAGCTGCAGTTCGAGCGTGAAATTCGATGGGTTGCGTCTAAATGTGTACGAGTAAGTCAAGTGTACCAAAAGAAGAATAAGCACACTAACGAGCACGTGTGCTTGATGTACAGTCTTTACCAGTGGATCTGCAAACATCACGGTGGATCAAGGATTCGACAGGATGGAAAAAACAAACAGATGAGCGTGGAGAACAGCTTGGATGCTGGTAATCGGAAATGTTTATTGTTTTTCAATGAAGAGAAACAATGGATTAATCACCTTAGATGGAACGTGTAAATTTGATAAACGTCTTGATTCACAGAGTGTGAGATTCTCAAGCCAAGCCGAAAAAATAGTAGAAGATTCAACACTAGTGACTTCTGGTTGTACATCGTGGTTGTCGCAAGTAGAACCACTGTAAAGAACTATGTTGATGACACTCAATATGTTCGGTTTAAATATGCATAAGCATTTGATTATTCAATTATTTATCATACAAATTTATTTTGTTTATTTATTAATTATAACATTTAAAATATTTAATTGTAATATTTTTTTAAATGATATAGAAAATATACAATATAATAATATTATATGAACATTATTGAAGAATCAATGTTTATGTTGAAACATTAAAACATCAGTTTTATGTTTTGTATACTTTTTATCAATCACATTAAAATAACAAAAGTTAAGCCGAACATATTGTATATATTAGCAGGAGAAAAGAGGGTAAATGTTGAAAAGAGGAATAATGTTACCGACCGTAGGCGGTGAGTCCCGCATGATAGTCCTGGGTGAAGTTCCACCGTCACAACCAGAGCAGGAACAAGAACCCGCGCAGGATGTGGCGGCACAATGGTTGCAGACAGAAAATCAGACCAATACTGCAGTCACTACTACTATCGGCACTATTACCAACATACCGACTATCGCGAGTCGAAACAGAACAAATGTACCACCGGTTCCGCAACCGAGGCAGAGAATCGGCAAACCAGATATTAGGGTACCGGGAAACAGGAATCGTAAGTCGCGTAGAAGGCGCATTACGGTCGCAGGTAATCATATCATTCATCTTTCTTTTGATCAATATAATTCTTTTAGATAGCATATGTAAAAATATATTTTAAACTAAATAATGAATTCCTTTTGATTATATTGATATGATTAATACAATATTTGATAAAAACTGTTTTCTAAATTGGTATCTTAATTTTATATAATAATACGTACATATTTGAAATATAGTAATTTATAATAAATATTAATCTTAGTTTTATAATTAGAGTTATAGAATTACTATTTACGAGGTTTTTTTTATCAACTTTTTTATGTAATTTCATGTAATTTTAAATTATATTTATAATAATTATAATGATAATCTTATGCGTCCGCACAGGAAGCACTTATGTATATATTTAGGATTTACTGAGGTACCACAACTCTATAAATATTTGATTCTTTTTTTTTTGTAAAATCTCACATTCATGTATCATATTCATTGATCATCAACATATATATTCCTATGTTTTCGAATAATGATAAATATATATTTTAAGACAATTTCTATGAATAAAAAAAATTTTTTAGATTATATCCAAAATGCTGCTGATATCAAGGATAATGGATCACCTACTATACCGAAACCTCCTCGAAGGGAATTGGACAGTTCCAATTCTACAACAAGTAGAAGAAAAGTAATTCCTGTAGATTTTGATTTAAAGGTAAATTATGATTGTTAATTTACATTTCTATTTTTAATTCTTTTTATCTAACTCGATATATATTTTAATAAAAAGCTCGACGCCGAGGAAGATGACGATGAAGATTACAATGATGAATTCACGGTGACAAGATTTGAAGAAGAAGATGAAGGATCAAATTATTGGCAATTAAAAGAAGATTATACATTTACAGATAGAACCAATATTCGTAGTAGATATAAAGATCACAGATTTGATGACGAAGCAGATTCTGCGAATCCTTGGCGAAGAACTGGTGGATTACGTTTGACGAGGAACGAATATCATCGATTTTGTGATACACAACTTGAATGTAATTATTAGATTATTATAATGAATGAAAAAAGAAATTTATTTTTAAATTTATCATTTTTAGCTTATGATCTTGCAACACAGTGTCCATCTAGAAGAGCATCGGCTCGAAAACATGCAGCTAAACGTACTATAGCACTTACAGCATTAACTGGTACTACTTCTCTTCCTCATTCGAGACCACAAAGTCGTCAATACACAGGTCCAACAGAATTGTTATTAAATCAAAGTCCAAGTCCTAATATTAGTGTGAATCCTAGTCCAAGTGTAAGTCCTCAGCCAAGAACAAGACAACCGCGACGATCACAAACTATTGCCGAAGATACAAAAGATAGCGAAGATCAAAATGAAGATTGTCAAGATGATAAAAGACAGGTATTACATTACAGGATCGATAACCGAAATTTAAAAAAAACTAATATTTATATAAATTATTAAAAATAAATTGTCTAATAACAAAAAATTCTTTTTCTACAGAAACCTACATTAGGTGACATGTTCTTAGATGAAAGACTTTCTCTGACTCTAGAAGAAATTGTACATATTCGGAGTGTATTAACTAAAGCAGAATTGGAATCTCTACCTGTAGAAGGGCGTGTAAAGGAAGATGTAGAGAAGAGACGCGTTTGTTTTCTTTGTCTAAAAACTAGATTCGGATTGTTAGGACCTTGGGGACAACGTTGTCGTTTGTGTGAAAGGACCGTCTGTGTGAAATGTTATTCCAAAGTAAATTTTCAAGATTTTTATTAATACAATTTCATTTAATATATAATTTAGATATTAGATTTCATTTAGATATTATCTGTATTATAGATGCGAATTCCAACAGAACACTTCGCCCATGTCCCAGTAGTATTACTATCTCCCGGTCTTCTTCTTTCTCCATCATCTTCAGAACCAGATACTAGCAAGAGTTCTTGGCTTAGAAGCAACGGAGCAGCTGGATCTGCACCGGCATCACCAGCCTCTAGACGCAAGGATTCATCGCTAAAAAGTGTAACACCTTCATCCACGCCTACTACGACACCAGTTTTGATACTTACACCGACTTCTACACCGCCTTCTCATGCTCGTCGTGAAACAGAGATTCAAGATAAAAGGTTCACTTCATTTAATTATATTATAATTTTTGATTGTTATTATTCTTCAAAAACAATATTTATATAATATTAAAGATTGCCAGCCAATGTATCATCACCGAAGGCATTCTCCAGTTTCACAAGTCAAAACTCGGAACAACGATTGGCCGCGGAGAGATTGCGAGGTGTTTCTATGGTTGTCTGTCATGATTGCCGTATTATGGTGATACAAATAATTAAAAGTTCGAGAACAACACGAGCTACGATACGTAACAATGTTATTTCACGACTCACTTTAAACTTATCTCCAGCCTATGTTTGAATTCTCTCTACAAAAAAAAAATGAAGTTCCGGTTAAAAAGGAATAAAATATGCAAAGAAAGTTAAATGTGAAATATATAATTTTAATGTAGCTGGAATTTAAAGAAAAAATCTATATAAAATCGGCACACAATGACATTTAATGTATTCTACGTACCAACATTCAGGCTTACATCTAAGTAGATCATTAATGCATGCAAATTTGAAAATGAGATATAATTAGAATCAAGTATTTAATTATGAGAATTAAGATTCTGTTTAGTTTTTAACGACAATTAACTATTTTTCGCTTCCCATTTCAATAATTACTATTAATAATAAACTTGTATCAATAAAAATTATTATGCAATCATGCGATTGCATTGTCACATGCGCGTGTGTTCTCAGTTCATAAAAACTGGGAATTCATATTTAACCCCGATCAATTATCTCGGGATTTTAAAAATGTGTACATATATGTTCCTTTTGCTCCAATATTGTTGTGAACACTAAATCTAAAAATAATATCGCATTTATTGTAAAATTTAGTTGAAAGAAAATAATTATCATAAACAAAAACTAACAATGAAACGATAAAAATGTTGAAACTCTAGATATAATCTACATATATGTGCCATAATATTGTGCCGCGCAATAGCGATCGAATTATGATCAATCATTTCTCATCTATCAAACTATGCGATAGTTTAAAATTATATGATCATTAATTCGAATTATTAAAAAATTTATATTTTCCTCAATTTGTTAATATATTCATGTAACATATAACTTTTGCGCGTAATTTTAGATTTCATATTTTATATATATATTACTAATAATTGCGTTCGAAATTATTCATACTTTTGTTCGTAATTTTTGTTAATAATCTAATTAAGATGAGAGGTACGCATACATAAGCACACGCATATTATAAAATCATACGAACTATAAATTAGCGAGAGAATCAAATACTCTGACAACCCCAAATGAAAAGAATGTTATTTTTTTTGTGTCTGCGGTGACATTATTTTATTTTAAAAGAATATATTTAATTTAGAGCGAGTTGAAGTCGGATGCACAATTGTACTATAAGTATGTTTTAATGGAATTAATTCATTTAAATTTTTTTGTATAATGTTTGTGATATTAATTTATTATTTTTATGTCTACTATTTATTATATTTATTTAATTCTGCGAATTAACTTGCAGATGTGTTTCTTTGTAATTGTACATATAATTATACATATAATGTTATGGAATTTATATGAACATGTAGTACAATTTTCATTTTGTTCTGTTATTTGTTGAAATATTTTTTATTTATATTATATATTGTTAATACTAAATGAAATTATTTTTGTTTTTGTTTGCGTTTTTAATTATATATAAGTTAATTACTATGAAATAAACTAAGCGGAGAAGAAAATTTAAAAAGAAAAAAAAGAATAGTGGCTCTTGTGACGGTCATGTTTATAGGAAATTAGTACAATGAAGTGGCTGTTCACTCGCACAGTTTAAAAATGTGCTATTAACGAAAAAATGTACAAAAGTAAACTGATGATGTTCAGAGTACAAAAAAAAAATGCGAATTGCACTATGATTAATATGCTGATTGTAAGTCTGGCATCGAAGTGTATACATAAAACAGCGTGGTTATAAATTTATTAATATATGTAAAAAAAATTGGTAATCTTTATAAAAGAGTACATCAGTTTGGTTAAGAAAGAAGTTTATTTATTTTTTTAGTCATATAAGTAGATTTCTAAATAATTTTCAAGTAAAAATCAAAATGAAAATATTTCGTATAGTATTTCTGAAATAGAATAAAAAATAGATTTTGTCGGACAATGTAATAAAAATACTATGTAAAAAAAGCACACAATGATACCTTATAAAAAATACAAAACATGAAATTCCATTTGTAGAAAGTTATCATAATAAATCGAAACTGAAAAAATAATAAGAGTCACAATGGCATGATTATAAGATGTATAAGAAGATTTATGTGGTGGCAATTGAAAAAAATCATTTATTATGTTAATTTATTATTTTTATGTACGATGTACTACACACACACACACACACACACACACACACACACACACACACACACATTCATAAATAGAAATCTTGTTTTTATGATGAAAGTGACCAAAATACATTCTATTCTAATTCATTAAATATAATGTTGTTTTTTTAAACAAAATTTCTCTTATTCTTTAGTTTATTATTATAATAAACTAATTTTATTTACATTTATTACATTTATTATTACATTTTAGTGGAATATTTTTTTATATATATACATATAATACTTTAAAAAATACATGATTTATTTATATAATAGATATTAATCATTATATAAAATTATAATGAAATTTTGAAATTTATCGTTAAATTTTATCTTTATATAAACAATATCTATATATAAACAAAAACAAATATAAATTAAAATCTGTAATTAAGCTCAATTCAAATATTTTTAAATCATTATAAACAAAGATTTTATAATTATAGAAAATAAGTAAAAATTATTTTGTGTTAATTTCTTTAATGATTATTGAATATTTAAAGATTTTTATTCAAAATTCTATATTTTTTTCTTAACATATTTCATATTATGATATAGTGTGCAAAATATTCTACATTCTATATATAAAAATTTTCGTTTTATAAAATTTAAAATGTAAATAAATAAATTGAAAAGATAACTAAAGTATCTAAAAATGATGTGATATAAATAAACAAACCGGAATATTTAAAATGTTCAAATTAAAATATAAATAAAATATGAAAAATTAGATAAATAAAAAGAATAGATGTTTTCTAGAACAATTATCTATTATTACATTAAAATTTGTTCTATTTTTATGATAAAATTTACTAAATTTTCTAATATATTCTCTCACATAAAATATTTAATTACAATTTAATTGCTGTAATATGTTAACATATGTGCTTGTACATAAAATATATAAGGTAGGTACTATTTACAAATAATATTAATCGATTACAAAGTTTAAAATGAATTTATTTTAAAAAATGATACTTTTTTTTAAAAATGAAATACAATACCATATGGCTAAAATTCCAGAAAGAAACATCACAGCCATTGAGTCTAGTAATTGCTAAAAATATAAAATCATGCAGTCATAAAATATTAAAACATTTGTTTAAAAGACGAAATTATGCAAATATATGAACGAAATATTCTATGCATGACAATAATATAATATAAAAGAATACAAATTTTGAAATCAAAATTTATAAAGAAATAGCAAACCTTTCTATTTGTAGTATTATGTAATACTACAAATTTATTTAATATTACATAATATGTATATATATATATATATATATATATACATATAATATGTATATGTATATAATATATAATTATTTGTAACCTTCAAGTGATGGACGTAAAAAAAAAATAATCTCATGGTTCAAAAGAAATACTCGTCTGACTTAATACTACCTTTTTAATTTCAGCATTCTTAAATATAGAATACCTTTTTGTACATATATATGTTAAGTAGCTATTGCTGTTTCCAACAGGTAATGCGTTATCATATAAAGTACGAATTTAGCATATACTGCATTGTGACGAAATATATTTTGCAGATACTTGTTGATAATTCTGATAATTGCAACTACATCGGAAGCTAAAATTATTTATATACTATTCAAGTATTGTTTTTTCACAACACTCACGATTGCCAAATCCGTACTTTAATCATTACGTACATTGCGCATATTAAACGAATTTTACATGTTAAACGAATATGATTTTATTTACATTTGAGCGACAAATACACAATGGTTGTTCTATCGAATCGCAATAATACTACATAGCCTTATCAATGATTTCAAAGAAATATATCGACACAAAATTTATCGGTATGTAGTAAACGCAGAATGATTGGTATCGTTTATAGCGAAATATGAATCATATTATTATATTTATGTAAAGACATAATGCTTGTAATTGTAATCGATTGCAATTACATAAAAAAATAATACGATGGCTTTCAATTTTTCAAACATCTATTTTGTGTAAAATAATCATTTTTCTTATAAAGATTCAAAAACATATAAAAACTTGAAATCTCAGAAATGCGAATTATGTACATAATGTAAAACTGCAGACCTGATGATTTTTATGCGTTTTTTTTTTATATCCCGTTTTATAATATTTAATTTCATGTTAATATGAAGCAAATAACATAACCGACATATATCTTAAAAAATTGTTTTCAACAAAAAGATGAAGCTAAAATATGTATATTCTACATTCATCTAATTAGATTTCATCATTGCAATAGATTAATAATATTGATCACCAATAATCGTCCTTAAATAACATTCCTGTACAAGATGCTCTATTATAGTTACAGTTTTATGATGAATGAGAATTTTTTTGCATTTAAAAAGCTATAAAAGAAATAATTACGAGAGAGCATATAAGAATAATTTTTGACTTTCTTTAAATCAGTTAAACTTGAGATCAACATGTACAGGAATATCTACATAATAAGAATAAACTTAAATTTCTGTTAATAAATAAATAGTACAGTTGTATGTTGAAGAATGTGATGCTTACTGGAAGACGGTATTAGAGTTTGACTGTAATATTTTTTGCTCTTAAAGAATTACAAGAATACAGTTGTAATATTTTAAAATTCATTATAAATATTAATTAAAAAATTATTCATTAAAATTTTGTAAAAATTACCCACTGAAATAAATAAAAAAAATTAAAATAATAAGAAAAAAAAAAACAATTTTGCGATCGAACAACCATAAATTAATACTAAAAATATAATTTCAAAAAAGTCAAACAAAAAACTCTAAAAATATTTGCAACTGTATCCATTAATTCCTTTTTCTACATGAACCACAACTTACAATAAAGTGCTGAATAACAAATTTAGTTGCTTTCCATATGAAGTCTTCAATTTCTTTCAAATTCATGTAATAAATGATTTCCAATAAAGACTCCGTTAAAATAATGTTTGTTCTTAATTTGATATTCAGCACTCCAGTAGTGCAGTTTTTTTTTTAAATTTATACAGAAACATCATTTAAACAATAATTAACGTATCAGACAGGTAGCACAAATACGTTGAGGCCCGATGCAATCATCGTGACAAAACGCGCCACACTGTCGGCATATTACCATAGCACCACGCATATTACATTCACATGGAGGTGGTGGATCTCC